GGCCGCCGGGATTAGAACCGGCACCCATATGGGATCCCGGGCATGAAAGGCGAGGACCTTAACCACTTGAGCCACCGCGCCGGGCCCGACCAAAACTTTTTTTTAAAGCAGCCTAACTGTATAATTTACATACCATAAAATTGGCTTATTGATTCATTTCAGTGGTTTCATGGTACAATATTGTGCAACCATCACCACAATACAATTTTAGGTTATTTCCACCATCCCCAAAAGATTTTTGTGCCCACCCACCTCTGCACATTGCATGTCTTTTTTGGACACAGTCATATTCTGTATTCTAAGATTCTCATCCTTACTATACACTAGCAAAATAAGAGAAAACTACTTTCAGAAATTAAAAGCCAGGGGAGCAGATTTGTCTTGGGCTCAATGATCCGATTGTACTCAAAGGTGGGGAGGTCCCACACAAGGTGAGGGGTTTGAATATCACAAAGGAACATAGCGTACCCGAGCATTTATTGATTATTCTGGGGGATCAGCATAGTTGACAACCACTGTTGAGTAGTGATTTGTGGGAGATGAATCGGCTCTCTTGCCCCGTGCTGATCACAGCCTGTATGTGGGTTCCTGAGAACTGGCCCGAGTCATTTCAGAGATTTGGCTGATTTTTTTTTTCAGAGATTTTTCTTTTATTAAAGATTTATTTGAAAGGCAGAGAGAATGAGACATACATAGATCTTCCGTCCACTGGCTTATTCTCCAAATGGGTGCAGTGACCAAAGAAGGCAGGATTTTCATCTGGGCCTCCAATGTGGGTGGTAGGGGCCAAAGCACTTGGGCCATCTTCTTCTGCTTTCCCAAGCTATTGGCAGGGAGCTAGCAGGCAGCTAAATCCCAGTGGAGCGCCCCACATACAAACTGATCCCGCTTGGGATGCTGCCTTTGTGCGCAGCAGCTTAAGCTACTGTACCGCAGTACCGGTTCCATACCCAAGTTCTCTCTCTCTCTCTCTTTTTTTCTATAAAGATTTATTTATATTTATTGCAAAGTCAGATACATATATAGAGAGAGGAAGATTGTCAATCTGATTATTCACTCCCCAAGTGACTGCAACTGCCGGTGCTGTGTCGACCCGAAGCCAGGAGCCTGGAACCTCCTCCAGGTCCCCCACACGGGTGCAGGGTCCCAAGGCTTTGGGCCATCAATTGCTTTCCCAGGCCACAAGCAGGGAGCTGGATGGCACTGGGCCCTCTTCCAAGTTTTCTAAGATCATTTTAGTCTTGAGTTTTTTTAGTTTTAGCTCCAGTTTTCTTTTTTTAAAGATTTATTTATTTATTTATTAGAAAGTCAGATATACAGAGAGGAAGAGAGAGAGGAAGATCTTCCGTCTGATGGTTCACTCCCCAAGTGAGCGGAACGGCCGATGCTATGCCGATCCAAAGCCAGGATCCAGGAACTTCTTCCGGGTCTCCCACATGGGTGCAGAGTCCCAAGGCTTTGGGCCGTCCTCGACTGCTTTCCCAGTCCACAAGCAGGGAGCTGGATGGGAAGTGGAGCTGCCAGTATTAGAACTGACGCCCATATGGCATCCCGGTATATTCAAGGCGAGGACTTTAGGTGCTAGGCCACACCGCTGGGCCCATAGCTCCAGTTTTTATTATAGCATTTAACTAATAGACTGTTAGCATTTTCCAAGAGTCTGACATTTCTGATTATGGAGATGAGGGGACACAGTGTGTGGACTTGTGGATCGCTTGGACTTGACACTTTGTTTTACGGATGGTGCCTGTAAAGGTCTGACTCCTCATCTGGTGTTTTATTTTCTTCCTTTAGAGTTTGGCATCATGTGAATGGTTTTCGTTTGGATTTTGAGCACTTTATTTTATAGAAAGCACATTATTGAAAACTGGCCTAGAAAAAAAGTCATTTGCTTGCACAGCCTTTATCGTTGCCAAGGAAATGTAAGTGCACGAAAGAGGGTGCTATCATCAGAAGCAATTTTAGAGGAAGCAGTTCTGGACAAGCTCTTGTCCCAAGCCCCATGTTGTTTTTAGCACAGTAACAGATAACGATTACTGCAGTCTCCAAGAAAGGCTAGTTTGTTAATTATATTATGGGTATCGGAAACAGGGGAAGGCCACATTTTTTAAAAAAGCGATCCTAAAATAGTGATGTGTTGTTGCTTAAAAGGTTAAACTGTCTTGTGAAGCTTCTGTTTTCAGTTTTGCTAGGTGGATTAGTCATATGCAGATTGACATTGAAAATGAGAAGTTCTGGGAGTTGCGGATTTACTGCTGACTTGGGTTGTTTCTATAGCAGAGATTTTCAAGTATAGTTTGTATACTGGGAGGCAGTTATCAGACTAAGAAGAAAGGAAAGTTTATCAATTCTCGCATAATAGTGAAGCCTCGTTAATTGTAACCGAGGGAGAATTAGTGAAAAATAATATAAAGATTATTAACTTTTAAAATATTTTTATTAGAAAGGCAGAGCATTCACTTTATGGAGAGAAGGAGGGACGGAAAGATCTTCCCATCTGCTGGTTCACTGCCTAGATGGCCACAATGGCCAGAGCTGAGCCAATCTGAAGTCAGGAGCCCCTCTGGGCTCCCATGAAGGTGCAGGTTCCCAAGGCTTCATGCTGTCCTCTTCTGCTTTCCCAGGCCACAAACAAGGGAACAGGATGGGAAGTGGAGCAGCCGAGACACGAACCAACACCACTATGGGAACCTGGCACTTGCAAGGGAAGGATTAGCTAATTGCCTTTGCAACAAGCTGAATGCAGCAGTTTTGTCTAAGCAATTGAAAGAAGAATCTTCCCCTGGAAGGGCTTGATTCTACCTTTAGGACCTTTTTCTGAAGAAATTAGACCCACCATGGCAGTCTTTTTCCTGATCAACTTAAAATCATTAAAAGTCTCCCAGTTTGTTGTACCATTTTATCACAGGGTGAAATCTGTCATATTCATAGTTCTACCCCACCTACAATGGAGATTGTATGGGGATGTGCACCAGAGGAGGAAACTCTAGGGAATAGATTAAGTAGGTAGCCAGCCTATCACACGTGTTCACACACTAAAGTGTGTGTGATTTTGTCTCAGTGAGTGGTTTCATCAAGCCCATCCACTGGCTTGTCCCAGACTCATTTTTAATTATTAAGATTGAATTTAGGTTTCTACGGTGACATGTTTTTCCTTTTTTTTTTTTTTTCCCTGTAGGTGAATAGAACACTGGCTGAAGAAGCTTTTTTTGGTCCATTATGGGAAGGGGAGAAAAAGTTAGCATAACTTCTGACCTCAGGGGCTAGGATTTCCAGATTTTATTTTATTTATGACCAATGTCTTAAGTTTTCAAAGGAACAAAGACTGAAGGAGAGGAAACTTATTTTTAACCTCCCGACAACCATTTTCTTGGGCTTTGCACAACTATATAATGTCCAATGTAAACTGCTTTAAGCATTAATTTGAAGACAAATGGCTTTTTAAAGCCATTCTACAAAGGTTACTCATTGTGTGAATTAAAAATATAAGAGAATCATACAAAGGTTATTAAAGCTACATAAAGGAGCAATTTTGAGAGAGAGCATTGCTTTCAGGTAGAAAAAGCATTCTCAAGGCTGAGTGGAGCTCAGGCTCCCATCCGTGTTCTCCTTATTTGTTTACAGTATTTGGATATGATGCTGTGGTTAGCCACTTGAATTCCTCCCTTCCCTTTCCACTTTCCCCTTTCCCCTTTCCTCTCCTTTTAGAATAAACAGCTCAGGGCAAATTCTGTGTTTTTACTTTCTTTGCTCATATAACTTCTTTTAGGAGACAATTAGTAAATATTACTTGATTCAACTGCTTCTTCTCAGTAAAGAATGGTAGTACATTCTTATTTTCAGTACAGAGATGAAAGAATTTGTATGTAGTGTACAAGTGAATTCTGAAGTTACTGTCTTCAAATGTTTTGCTTTTACTCCTAGGAGGGTCTTTGGGGGAGCTAGTTTTGCCAGCAACCTGGTTGGCTATTTACCAGACTCCTGACACATCAGTAGTGAGGTTGTGAAAGGCTAAGGAAAGTAGTGGTAGCTGCTGTAGAAATAGAATTAACATTCATCTTTATAACCGTCTCTGCCTTCCTGTCTGGCACCTTCCTTTCTGTACAGGTAGACTGAACATTTTATGGTTTGTTTCCCACACCATTGCCTTTTCACAATTATCATTCCATAGTACCTAGTATCTGTGCTATCAAAGTATTTGTGTTAAACAGTGATTTTTTAATAGCATGTACTTCTCAAAATGGGAAATCATGCCTTTAGTTTTGGTCATTTAGTGTGCCTGTCATTGGATATGCACCAATATGTAAGACTGAGTAAATGAATGGGCATTGAAACTCTTTATAAGCAAGATAGCATTCAAGCATACCGCTTAAAAACATTTTTTTGGTTGACACTTTCTCCCCCTGCCCCCTTGACTGCAATATCCAGGGCTGAGGTAGTAGAAGCCAGAATCCCAGAACTTCGTTGTGGTGTCCCATGTAGGTACACAGGCCCAAGCACTTGGGGTCATCATTCTGTTGCTTTTCCACGTGCATTAGCAGGGAGCTGGATGGGAAGTGAAGCAACCAGGACTCCGATTAGCACTAGCTTGTTTATATGTGAGTGTAAGCAGATTAAACATTTAAAGCATGCGGTCATTTTCTTTGGATTTAAGATTTTGTCCTTTAATCTTTGGAATAATTGTTAGGTTTGTGTTGACTAGAGCTCAGATCAAAACATGAATATGTGATTATTGTATATTATTTATGATTGCTACAGAATTTTACCACAAATATCAAGTCTCATCTTTCTGCACATAATCATTTGAAAGTTTAAAAAACAGTCTAAGAAAGGCATTAATCTTAACCAGGCCAACACTCATCATTCTGTGCCTATGGTACATTATTTTACCATTGATTTTTTTTTTTCCTTTCTTTTTTAAAATTTATTTATTTGAAAGGCAGAGCTAGATTTTCATTTGTTGGTTCACTTCTCAGTGGCTGTAACAGCCAGATCTGGGCTGATCTGAAGACAAGAACCAGGAATTTCTTCCAGGTCCCTGATCTCCCATGAGGGTATGTAGGGGGGCCAGGGTCCAGTTGGAGAGGTAGAACAGGTGGGAATTGAACCTGTACCCTGATGGGATTCCATGTTGTAGAAAGAGGTTTTACCCTCTATACCATGATGCCAGCCCCACCTTGGTCTATCTTAGGTTTTCTTCACAAGAAGTCCTTTAGGGTTTCAGAAATAATGCTGACAGAAATGGTAACAATGGATATTTTGGAAACAGGAGGGACATGTTATTTTTGAGGTGTGCTGATTTGCTTTAAAAAGGTTTTTGTGAGAGATCAAGGACCAGGGGTAGCCTTTGCCATTCTTGTGTTTTGATATTTAAAATTAATGTTTACTTTTTTTTCAGTATCTGCTAACAAAAATCACCAAATGCCTAGAAAATCCAGCTATCCATCATAGGCATGATTCTCCACATTGGTGCAGCTAGCCATGAACTATCCTTTTCTTCTCCCTCTTTTTCCCAGATATCTCCCGAGGCCAATTCAGCACCTCTACCTGGCCATCCTAACAAGGTGATTTGTGAAAGGGTGAGACTTCAGAGCCTGTTCCCTCTTCTCCCAAGTGATCAGAACACTACCGTTCAAGAGGATGCCCACTTCAAAGCTTTCTTCCAGGTTCTTATATATTTACCCTTTCCCTACATAGGGCTGAAAGTCACAGATTGTAGGCAGGCTTGAAACAAAATTCTCAGTAGCATCTTATTTTCTGTTGTATGTGGGAATATATTCTTCTTAGAAGGTTTCTTTAATTTAACTTTTCCAGCCAGCCTTTTTGAAGAGTGTCTTCTCTTGAGCTACTATTGTTAATTGTTTGATCTGTTAATGTTCTTTTTGTTTGATCTTTTGGTCTTAACAATTTGTCCTAAAAAGCTAGGTTCTGTAGAAAAGTAGAAAATATCAGAATATATGAACCTGTGGAGGAGCGAAAAATGACAACCTTTTTAAAAGCCATTTCTGCTTATAGTAATGTACATTTCAGAAAGAGAACTTGTTTACTTGCCTTCTGTGACTTTTGGTGCCTTTGGCTAAAATATGGTTTAAACTTCTAAAAGATTTATTTATTTGAAAGAATTATGTAGACAGTAAAACCTTCCATTCACTGCTTGATTCCTCAAGTGACTGCCCAGGCCAGCAGTTGACTAAAGCCCAGAACCAAGCATTTCTCCCAATCTTCCTCTTGGGTGGTAGGGAACCAAGCACTTAGGTTATCTGCTGCTGCTTTCCCCAAAGCTTTAGCTGGAAGTTGGATCAGAAATGGAATAGTCAAGGCACGAACTAGTGCCCATGTGGGATGAAACTATTGTTAGGCTATGATAATGTTCCTGGCATCTGCTCATAAAAATCGGGGGCTACTAAACATTGAATCCATATCCCGCATGTTCTAGTAATGGATGTCAATATTACCAGAAATGGAACTAAAATACATCATCACTTCTAGTCAGTGGGTTTGTGAGCCAAGTCATCTATTTTTTGTATATACATCGAACATTGATAATCAAGGCTGAGACTTGAGCTAATTTTATTTTTGTGTAGAGGTAACAGGTTGGAGATGGGGTTAATTTGAAAAAATGCTTGTGATGTATTTTAAGTTGGAGATTGAAGATTTCCAGATTTAAGTCTTGTAAGGACCCGGGGTTTGAAATTTGTACCGCATTCTCTGCTTTACATGTATTAGATCCTTTTAGTTTGCCTCCCCTTCCCCCCCAAAGGCAGAGTGACAGGGAGCATTCCGTCCTCTGGTTCACTAGTGAAGTTGCCATGACAGCCAGGTCTGTGCCAGAAGCCATGTGCTCCATCTCCCCTGAGTGCCATGGACCCAAGCACTTAGACCATCTTCTCTGGGTTTCTTAGGCAAGTTAGCAGGAAGCTGGATTAGAAGTGGAACAACCAGGACTACATATGGCACTTACATTGGGATGCTGGCATCCAGTCAGCAGCTTTAATCTGCTATATCACAGTTCTAGCCTCTTTATTTTTAAAATCTGATTAAGCTAGTCATTTTTTTAAAATTGAGGAAACAGGCTTAGAGAAACTTGCTAAGGTTCCTAAAACATCCAGGAACTATTATTGGCAGAGCAGAACCAAAATTTGACTTTAGCTGTGCCTTATCTACTGTATCATACTATCTAGATGTATCAACAGGTAAACTGCAAGCACAGTGGTGCATTAAGAGGTGTAGTTATCTGCATTGAATTAAGTGGCATTTTGACTACCATTTTTGATTGTGGCTAAGCGAAGAGTTGACTTGATACCCTTACAATTTTCACTGGTGAGCACTTTTTTGAATGCTCTCTGTTCCCTAGATTCTCTTTGGGTCTTTAGACTTTAACTCAGTATTAACTTTAGAGAATAGCTGCCAAATGCAATGAATTTAAATACGTTTTGAAAATAAAATTAGAGCCAGTTGCGTTCAGGTCTTTCAGAAAGGTGTTAAATTTTCACTTGCAGTCCTGATTTATTCTTTTCTCTAACATCAGAACTAATGCTTTTAGTGTATGGGCTTAAGAGTTTATTGAAAGTCAGATTTACTGCAACGACCAGAGCTGAGCCGATCTGAACCCAGGAGCCAGGAGCTTCTTCCTGGTCTCTCATGTGGGCGCAGGGTCCCAAGGCTTTGTGCTGTCCTTGACTGCTTTCCCAGGCCACAGGCAGGGAGCTGGGTGGGAAGGGGAGTAGCTGGGATACAAGCCAGTGCCCATATCCTGGTTCATGTACAGTGAGGACCAGCAACCAGGCTACCATGCCAGCCCCTCCCCTTTTCAAAAATTATATATATTATTTCTTTGAAAGAGAGAGAGAGAGAGAAAAGATATTCTATGTGCTCTTTCACTCCGCAAATGGCAATGATGACTGGAGCTGGGCTGAGCTGGGCTGTTCTGAAGCCAGGAGCTTCTTCTGGGTCACATATTGTGAGTGCAGGGGCACAAGCACTTGCTCCTTCTTCTACTGCTTTCCCAGGTTCATTAGCAGGGATCTGAATCAGCACTCTTTTGCTTGGCACTACAGGCAACTTACTTCATATGCTACTGTACTGACCCCCAGTATATGGGTTTTCTTTACCTGGTTATTGTCTTGCCACTGTTCTCTGTGAAGCAAAGAATTAACACTTTCAGCTAATTCTGATAGCAAAGTTGTATGTGCTTTGTTCCAGCTAAGGCTTCTCAGGCATAAAAACTTAACACATGAAAATGAAAACCTACCTGGCATCTCTTACAAAGTTACCCTCTTACTGCATTATCTTGCTTTTGCTTGGCTTTCCCCCCAGGTACCTACCCTCTCAGCTTTTTCTTTACTTTTGAATAACCCATTTTAAGCAAACTTATCTGCCTCTGCAATTTGTTTTCTTAAGGCACCCTCTCTACTTCCTTGCCTTAGATAACACTTCTGTGGTCCTGGCTTCCTGCAGCCTTCTCTAGGAATAAGGAAATTACTGATTTTCCCCCTCACCCTAAGAATGGGGTTGAATGTTTCTAGTAATTAGGGTGGTGATAGAGAAGCAGGGAAGCGTTAATAACCCTCCTTGGCCTTGTTTTTTGTTTTTTTTTTCCCTGACCTCCATTCTCTGGGTGAAAAACATCATCTTTTTATTTTAACATTATTATTATCCATTATTATTGTCCTGATTTAAAACCGTACTTTGATCTTGACTTTGTATGAGTCATACGGTGCTACTTACTGCTAGTCAACTTGCAAGGCATTGTTGTGTCTTTCAAATATTGCCTGTTTTATGGCTTTTTAAATTATGGAATATTTCGTATATCTACGATACAGAGTATAGGGCAGGTACACTTGTAATAACACACCATTCAGCTTAAGAAACCAGCAGTCACAGATCCTTGGGGGCCTTCGTAAGACTCTCCAGGTTATCCTCACCTGCAGATAAACCTCCATGTATAGTAACCTTTCGCTTTTCTGTGTGGTTGTACCATTTAGGATCTTCTTGAATGCTATATTCTTCAGTACTTTTTGAGATGCATTTTAATGCAAGTCACTATGTGATTAGTTTTACTGCTTTAGTATTTGAGTGTGTAAACGCTGTTCATCCTCTTTGTTTTAGGTTGACATTGGGGTAATTTTTACTTTTTCTTATTACTTGTGGTGATGCCAGGACCACTGAATCTGTTTCCTAATATACATTTAGTAGATGTTTTAATGTTTCTGTAAATGTGATGGCTCTGTGTATTTATTGTTCACACAAGAGGTATAGGTATATGACCATTTGCATCTTTAGAAAAATGAATATATTTGAATTAGAATCTAATTGCCTCCTATACTATTTTGTAAAAAATTTTAAACTTAAGGTCCAACTAGTATACATTAAAATTCAACCTTTAGTGTGCACATCTGTGATTTTGGTAAACGAATACAGATGTGGAACCACCTCCACAATCAAATTCCAGCCTTTTTTGGTTAAATCTTAAAGTTTTTAAACAAGCAGTTTCTTTACTATCAGCTGATTCATACTTGAGAAGATAATATGCTTTGTAATTAATCTTATGTAATTAAGTGCATAGTGAAGAATTTGAATTTCGTCTGCAGCAGTCACTGTTTTCAAGAATGTGACATCTGTTCTTTAAAAAGATGCTATGTTTATGAAAGAAGACCATCATAAAAATATTACTTTACATCAAAAAAAAATTCAGGCAGTGAAAGTTCTTAGTCAAAAATCAGTGGCATTTTTGTTTGCAGAACTTTATGGTTGTCCATAAATTTCATACGAAAAATTTTCTGAGTAAAGACAGGGAGAAGACATCCCTGGAAGCCATAGAGCTATACCACAACAGGCACCAAGTCGTACTATAAAGAAGTGATCTTTGCAGGTGACATCCATGTTAATCCAGCAGTTGTTTTTCAGCTGCCTTCTTAAGTGACCTCTCAGTTTATCTTTGAAATTCTCTGACTCTACTCTCTCATCAAAGTTCGCATTTTCTGTACTAGTAATTCAAGCATTAAATATTGGAGTTGCTCAGGATTCAGTATTAGGCCTTCATTTTGCCATATACATTCATGGGTAATTTTTATCCATGCCTGCAGCATCATTAACCTATAGTCTATCTACACAAAACTCCCAAGTTTAAATTCCCTTTTTTCTTTTTTTCTTTTTTTTTTTTTTTTTTTAACATTTCTCAGCTTCAGCTGTCAACAGAACAGTTCTGCATGGTTGTTTAAAAGGTTCTACCTACTAATTTCAGATTGTCCTTAGTTTCCGTTTTTACTTGTTTCAAGTTTATGCCTCAGATTCAAAACTTTCAAGTGGTTAGTGTAATTGTTGATCTTTGTTTATACTTTAAAATTATTATAGTCATGGGGCTCGGTACAATGGCTCAGTACCTAAATTCCTGACCTTGGCATGTGCTGGGATCCCATTTGAGCACTGGTTTGTGTCTTGGCTATTCCACTTCCCATCCAGGTCCCTGCATATGGCCTGGGAAAGCAGTAGAGGATGGCCCAAAACCTTGGCACCCCCACACCTGTATGATACCTGAAGGAAATTCCTGGCTTTGAATTAGCTAACTTTGCCCATTGCAACCACTTAGGGGGTGAACTAGCAAATGGAAGATTTTTCTGTCTGTCTCTTTCTGTCTATCTCTAAATCCGCCTTTCCAATAAATTTT